CACCCCGTGGTCCAGGCTGCCTGCAGCTAGGCCTGTGCCTGGGGCCCAGGAGAGGGACAAGCCACATGCCCCATGGTCCAGGACACCAGCGGCTGCGCCTGTGTCTGCGGGCTGGGTGAAGGACAAGCCGCGCGCCCCACAGTCCGAGGTGCCTGTGGCTGTGGCCCTGGCAAAGCCGGCCCGGGTCCTGGGTGCCTGCAGCCAGCCAGAGGGAGGGAAGCCCGGGTCCCGGTGCCTGTAACCGGTCAAAGGAGGGAATCCTGGGTCCTGGGTGCAGGGTGAGATAGAGGTGGTTAGGGGCGATCAGGCTGGTAGGGGAGCAATTAGGGGCAATCAGGCAGGCTGGCAGGTGAGCGGTTAGGAGCCAGCGGTCCTGGATTGTGAGAGGCGGTCAGACATCCCTGAGGGGTCCCGGATTGGAGAGGGTGCAGGCTGGGCTAAGAGACCCCCCTCTCCCCCCGCGCCCCGTGCATGAATTTTGTGCACCGGGCCTTTAGTATAATCTATATATATAAAAGGCTAATACACTAAGTGTCCTTCCCTCCATCCAGGTAATGATGTCATATAGCAATGCCTGATTTCCTCTCCCTAGAGACTCACCTCCTTGCAGTTTCTTCAGCCCAGGAACACAACTTCCTTTATAGCCAGGTGGAAACATTTTATACTTTAACCAAATGTCTGTGAAGCATTTTCACGTGCCTCATCTCATTTGATCCTCACAGAAGTCCTGGAATAGGTAGATAGGAGACTCGGTGGAATCCTATTTTCTTTTCATTAGCCACAAAATGGAGATTTAGAAAGTATAGAAACTTGACCCTACTGAAAAGAAGTAAAAAATGGTAGACCTTGAAAATGACTTGAGGTTTTCTCATTGCATAGAACATAGTCAAATACTGCTGCAGTTAAATATTTTACCCTTTATTCTCCCTGTATGATCTACAATAATAATCTGCTTCGTGTTGATATTTACTGCTGTGTTACTGACAATTACCTGAAAGAGAAGTTGGGGTGCTTCACTGGGCTCAAAAAAGTTTAGCTAAATCAGAAAGCAGGCCCTGACTGGTTTGGCTCAGTGGATAGAGCGTCGGCCTGCGGACTCAAGCGTCCCGGGTTCGGTTCCCGTCCGGGGCATG